GGAGAGGTAGTTCCACTGGGCTCCTCTGTCCCAGGTCAATCAGGGTTGTTTCCTGTAGGAGGTCACTACTCCTACACAAGTGACCATGTGACATTTCCTCCTGGATAAGAGAGTTCTGCTCTCTTGTGGGGTCTAGCAGACCAGTATGCAGCAATTTGTTTAAATATGCTAGTCCTTTCTGCCTAGTCTGTGAATTCCTTCAGAGCAGAGAACACATCTTAGCATAGGGTCTTACCCTGGTAACCGCTGCTAAATGTTTCTGAAATGAATAAGTAGAATTAAACAAAATATACTGGAAACCAAATAAATTTTACATATTAATGCAGAAGATCGTTAGCTCACTGGTCTTGCTGTTGCTGGCTCTACTGACACAGAGTCACACGAAGATCTGTTCGATACGGGCTTTGTTCTTATTCAGTTAAAAGAAGAGGTTAGGTCATTTGAAAGGCTTCTTCCAGGCCTCATCTGGTGGTATGAATAACGAATGAATAGTGGAGAGAATTAAATTTGGAAAATTGCCATTTCAATAATTGATAGGAAATCTAAAAATCCAATATCAGGATTAACCATGGAGACATCTGAGGTACAGAAGGGATTATGTTTGGTAAGTTTCTAACTAGGTTAGAGGAAAGCCCAGCTGTTTCCTTATTCTCTCACATTTCGAGATTTCTACTTTGATTCTATAAGAAAACTAGGTGGTTATGTAAGAAAAATAATGACTTAAAATTGACTAACTCAAGAACTCATGTAAGAGTTCACACCCTTGGCCACTTAGCACAAGTATGTTGACTTAAGAAAAAGTGTTTAGACAACGTGGGTTGTACCCTGAGTGTGTACCCCATGGTGGGGGACAGGGGGTGGGAGGGAGACAGCTGCTCTGGGAACTTGGCCATAAAATACCTGCAAACTTCTTCTGCCACCCAACATTGGTCAAGATTTGAAAATCACAAGCTTCGGGCCCTGAAAATTAATTCTCAAAAGGCTGATCTAGTCTCTGGGGAGTACTCATGGTACTAAAAAAGAGCATGGAACTTGGAGTCAACGTATCTGAGTTTAAATTCAGCTGCATGCCTTCAGACTACCTGCTCAAACCTCTGGGTCCTGTGGCCACCATGATCACTTCAATGGGCCCTGGTGTAGCTGGCCTGGTATACTGTAAATGGGACCCAGCAGGGGGGCTGGAAACTCTTTGGGCACTGAGAATGTTAGTTTTTCTTCTTCCCTTTTAATGGATGGTCTATTTATGGGGAAGGAGACACGTGGTGCTCAAGGAATTTACAATAGTTGGTAAGGCAAAAGTCATACCTATAAAAGATGCCGAGCTACGTGTAGGTGGGTAAGATAAATATCTAGAAATGGGGTGACTCAAAATGCCTTTAAGAGTGGACCAGAAAATGATGATCATGGGCAGGAACAGCAAGAAAAAGACAGCCTGGAAGAGGAAGAATGGGAGTCAGAACTTTGAAAATGGTGGGAATTAGGCAGGCAGAAAGAAGTGGATGGGCAGGTCACGTCGGAGAGAGGTACCTTGATAGAGTGTTCTGGGCAAATTCTGGTAAGATGCACGGAATGTTCTCGCTGCAGAACCTTCTGCATATTGGAATGGCTAAATGGAAGACCTTTGGTAAGTGGACATGGGTCTTAAATGCTGCACTAAGGAAATGATCTTTATCTAATAGACAATGGAAAGTCAGTGAATGTTTTGGAGTAAGAAAAAGGCCTAGGCAAATAATATGATCTAGAAGCACCCACATTTGCAACAATCTCTCTGGTGCTAGGAGCCATGCCGCTAAGAAAAGAAGAAGAAAAAGAAAAAACCCTTTCATTACACTAATACTTAGTCAATCACAGAAGACCTACTTCAGAACTCCAAGGAAAACATTTTTGTGAATCAAAAGCTAAGTACAATATGTTAGCAATTAAATGAGATAACATAATAGCTGAGGCAGAACCGCAGCTTTCCCCACCACAAATCCAAGCTGCACCAGAAAGAAAGGCTTACATCATCTTCCAAGTTATCAAGCCATTTTGTTTTGATTTTCAGGAGGCGGGGAGGGAGGGAACCAGAAGAGTACTGAGGTCAAGAGGATTCAAAGCTGTCTATTCTTTAATCAGAAGGAATTAGGAAGGAGAGCGAGAGAGATCTGCTCAAAACAACTCCCACCCTGGGATGAGTCTGGAGTCCCTGGCCCCTCACTTCCAGTCCAGGACACAGGAAGGTGTGCAGCCCAATGTGCCTCTTTCCAGTGCTTTCTGCCACATTTCCGGTGCCTACCTCCTGCTGCTACTTTATTTACTGCAGCTGGCCAAAGTTTTATAGCCTGTTTCATGTATTAAAATTCAAATGTGGAAAACATTACCAGTATCCTCCTTGATTTTTTTTCTTTATTTTGTTGTTGTTGTGGGGAAAGGGGGGGGGTTGTTTTGCATTTTTTTTTTTTTTTTGCTTTCCCTTAAACTTCCCTTTTATTGTGGAATGTATCCAATGGTCAAAGGCTAACATTAGACTGACTAAATTAAAAAACTATTTCCTTTGTTCTTAGTTTTTTTGTTTTAAAATTCATACCAGTTTGTCCAAGGAAAGATATGCCAATCCAGCCTCTTCCACACACATTAATGTTTAGACTGAGGATCTAGGATTCTGTGGACAGGCTAAATGGTCTTTCAAGAAGAAAGGGGGAAAAGGTAACTAGCCCCTCTTCGGGTCAGATGCAGCAGGTTGCTGACAGCGGTGGCACCATGTTCTGGCTGGCTCCATGGCTGTCCTTAATTGAATACAAGATGTCTCAGAAGAGTGAACAGGAACTTTTCCTCGTCCACAAAACTGGCAGCTCTATTGCTGCTATATAGTTTTTTTTTTTCTTTCCCAATCCAATCAAAGAGGTGTCTGTGTTATATTGGCCAATTATTTCCCTTTTCAAAATGGTTCTGTTCTATTCTCTCCCGTTCCCCTGCACTGAAATCAGTTCAACTCCCCATCTCCAAAAATAATTSTAGACTTTTCCTCCCATCCCATCTCTGAATCAGACTCAAAGAGGAGGCAATTCAAAGGTCAAATAGTTCCAAAAAGCATCTATGTATAGTTTAGTATGTTAAAGAACCACTTAACCTACATCTGGTACTTAAGAACAAACTTTACATATTTATGGAAAGACAGTCTCTGAAGCAATGCCCTGGCTGCGTGCTGCATCCGGTTAACATATGCAAAACGAACCCAGCTACAGAAATTAAACTATTTTTCTCTTGATTGAGAGCAGATATACAGAAATGGTTATAAGTCACAGATCTGGCTTTTAATAAAGCCAGATTTCTTAATTAAAAGCAGTATTGTTTAAACATCGTAGTTAGAAAAAAAAAAGAGCTGTACAAATGAAAATCTCATATTATATGCATCCCAAGTGTATTTAACACATTACCTGAGGCCAAGCCAAATTAAAATCTAGACTTTCCTTTTGTAAACTCTTAGCAACCACTATGAACAGACAAATTTTACTTAGTGATGAATTTTCAGGGTAGAGGTCAAGGAAAAGAAAAAAAGATATAGCTTTGGCATTCAAAAATATCTTTCCACATTTTAGAAGTGAGTTCATTGCTTCTATTTATAATCCAGTATTTTGGGTTTCAAATTGGTTGCAGGTTTTGATATTACACTGCTCAGGACAGTACTCTTCATCTTAGTGTTTTAGTAGGAGAAACTGAAAGGACACAATAATACTCTTGAACAAGAACTTGAAGAAACTCCTAATAATTAGTACTTATTTTGTGTTTCCTTTAGAATGGCTTTAAAAAAAAAGATGCTACAGTTATACTGGAAAAGAGACTGTCATTCAAGCAATTTTTAGAAAAAAATCGAGAAGGGACAGATTAGGACACTAAGGTGTTTATGACCAGACAGGAGTCTGGAWAGAGCAGAATTATTATAATATGATCAAATTCTACACCTATTTAGTCACTTCATTAATTGTCACAACTTAATATTTTGTTAATATTCTCAGTGTCTTTGTAACACACCCCAAAAGATGCTTTCTAAAATTCTTTTCAAAAGACTAAAAGAGACACTCCAATTGTCAGGTGGACAAATCTGCTAACAGACTATTCAAATAAACTCTTATTAATAAATTGGTGGTGGCAAAACTATTCTCTACATTAGATTTCACAATCCCATAACATGTATGTACACAAACAAATTTACCGTATGTTTCTACCTCCCGCCGTACTGAGGACACAAGGGACCATTTTGGCTCCTTTAATGATAATGATAATAATAAGGATAGGAATAATAATAATAAGCCCAACCTGCTCATATTTGAAATTTYGGCAATGTTGAACCCTTAAATCAAAGTCACCAAGATAAATGGTTTAAAACACCATCAGTGACCCAGCAACTCCTTCCTGGACATATGCTAGGAGAATGGAAAACATGTGCTCACACAAAAACTTGTGCATGAACATTTATAGGTGGATCACTCATAACAGCCCCAAACCAGAGACAAACCAAGTTACCTATCACCTAATAAATGGATAAATGTAATGTGGTCTAGCCATGCCTGAAATATTATTTGGCAGTGAAAACAAAAGAAGCTCTCTATATGGTAAAATATAGATAAACCTTGAAAAGATTATGCTAACTAATAACAGCAGCTAGTCAGAAAGACCTACATGTGTTATGTGATCCCATCTATGGAAAATGTCCATATTTAGGCAAATTTGTAGACAGAAAGTAGATTGATTAGTGGTTGCTGGAGGCAGAGGGTGGGAAATAAGTGCTTGGTGAGTTTTCTTTTTTACAGTGGGCTAAAATCTCCTAAAACTAGACTGTCATGATGGCTGCAAATTCCTGTGAATGCATTAGAATACATTGGATTGTATACTATAAATGGGTGAACTTTTGTTTTCTCAATAAAGCTGCTTTAGAAAAGCCAGTAACAGTAGTTATTTAAACCTGAAATTCTAATTCCGCACTGTACAAATTTGTATACTCTACAAATCTCATCACTTACCATGAGTGAATGTCTGTTGGCTGAAAGAAGGCCGGTTCCGTACCCTGAGCCCAGACCACCCATTGCTCCATTATGAGAAGGTCCAATGATCCCGTGCATGTCTCCATGACCACCAGGCACAGCTGTGGATGGGCCCACTGCATGATTCCGGAGAACATGAATCGCATCATCCAGTCTTTCTAAACGATCTTCAATTCGGCTTTGCTGTTGGGTAATAAATGATGTAAAATTTGATTTAGTTTGAAATACACGCATAGGTTAGTTACATAAGGAGATCTTTGATGGACACAAACGACACTTTGGTTCTTGAATATATGTTTGCAATAAAGTTAATTGCCTTAGAACAATAATAAAAATACATAATGTCCTTCCTGGAAAACTGGTGGGAAATGTTGATGTTAAAATTGTATTATTATTTACACAAAAAAGTAAATTAAAAAAAAGTTCTTCCAGGACATTACTGTGTACGTATGCTACACTGAACTGTTTTAGTTTGAAAGATAATTTAGATTTACTCTACAAAAGATCATTCATTGAATTTCAAGAAAGAGTCTGTGCGTTAGGAGTCTTATTGAGGAAGTAGGTTCCTAAGCCATCGTGACGGAGAGTTGGGCCTACATTCTTTTTCGACTAGGCACATATCTAAAAACAACAACAACAACAACAAACCAAAACCCAAGACATTCCGGAAGGGATTAGTTAAGATTTCAGTGGAAGATGGCCTATTTGTGGTTTCCTAATTAAATTATTTTCAAGTCAGAGACAGGTAAAAGCATACAGATTTTCGCTTCCTACTGAGTTTTTAACCTGTGTGAGTTGCTTCTTGTCTACTATCAATACCAGTCTACATGTGTGTGCACATGTGTATGCAAGGCCCCCAAGTTTGTTACAGAAAAAAAAAATCACTAAAATTCTATCAACCAAAGTAATGTAAAACTTGAAGACTGAAGCATCATAAAGATCTGACCCCCTCATTCACTGAGGACGATGTCTAAATGAGTTCAAAGCCCCTCTATGGTACAGAGTCACTACCTCATATAGTCATAAGCCCAAGGACATTTTTCATTCTAGCCACATTAGGATTCTAGTTTATCTCAGCTAGGTGAGGCCTCCGTTAGAGGAAAAAGAAAATGGTCACACACACACACACACACACACACACACACACTCACACATGCACATACACACACTTTTTTGCTTTTATCAATGACATCAAGTATTACTCTCTGTTGTACCCTTTAAAATGTAACATCTCATTGATCCTTGCTGCTCATGGGTACTACAGACAGAAAGACATTAATATCCCTTTCATACAGAGGGTAAAAAGAGGCTCAAAGAAAAGAAGTGGATTAATTCCTCAGTGTCATACTGCTAGGAAACATAAAGTCGGGGTTGGAATCAAGAGTTCTGGACTTTAAACCTTGTGCTGCTCTGTACCGCATCAAGCTATGATCTACTCTGATTCCTCATGTGCTGGGCAAACAGATGGGCCAGTTCTACGGCATGAGAAAAGCAATTTCTAATTATTCTATATCGACAGGAAGAATGTGTGTCTAATGGAGTTAGTCTATGGTACAGAGCATTTTGATTCGGTGGGCTTGGGAGTTAAACTATCTCCTGAGACTGCTAACTCTGCTACTATTTGACCTGGGAAAAGTCACTAACCTTCTCCGAGCCCGAGTTTCATTTTTAAATAGTTTTTATAGAGATGGACACCATACCTTTATTTTTTTATTTTTAGCTGAGGATTGAACCTAGTGCTTCACACGTGCCAGCTAGGTAAGCGCTCTACCAACTGAGCTAGAGTCCCAGCTCTGAGCCTGAGTTTTTTTAATTTATAGAAATGGGAATGATAAAACATACTTCTGAGTGTAAATGTAAGCATGAAAAGACAGACATGTGCCTATCCTAATGCTGGCTCTCCTAGTAGAGAGAAAGAGGAGTTTCTACTTCTGAAGCCCCTCTGAGCATGCAGATCCATAAGGAATGGAAGCTGGAGTCCAGAACTATAAATAGCCTTCTAGTTCTAAAGCTGGAAAAAGCCTGGTTTGGATGGTTGGGTCCTGGAGAATGACCGAAGGAGGCAAACTCTTAAAACAGCTATGCATTATTTAGGTGTAGACTGCTAATCAATGGGTTGGTAGTGCACATGCTATCTCTGTGTGTGGTTCCCTTTATTGGCTAAACTGCATAGCTGGATGATTCAGACACTCCAGCAAGGAGAAGAGCACCATGAAGGAGGGAATCCATCTTTGTGTTTTCATCTTTCGATTTTCCTTAAAGAGGGAGCAGAGAGGGAAGACACAGAAACACTGACAAGATAACACTGAGTTAGGGAAATCCATGCCTTCTGTTACATCTAGAAATTTTCAGGAAAAAAAAAAGGAAAACTCAGCTTTGAAGGACTAATGGGCTTGCCCCACTTCTGGCTACCCTCCCCATCTGACTCATATCAAGACCAGATACTGCATGGATCAGGGTGGCTGCATGKGTATTTCCAGCCCCATCCACCAAGAGTTGAGGAAGACTAAAGTGTCAGACACTGAATCATCRTGAGTATTTATAGTACGAATTATTCCCATGGAAATGTTCAGCTATTTCCTCCTGAAGAGCAGGCACTTCTGTACTATTAACAATATTACTGAATTCCTATGAGAACCACAGTGAATGAGGAAATAAACAGTAGGTCTCTTATTCAGAGGTTAAGAGGAAACCTCCTATAAACCTGCTATTCTGGGAAACAAAGTAGAGGTAGCAAGAATCTTTGAGTGCTCTAGCCGTGTGGCTGAGCAGGAGCGATAGCTGGTTGATGGCAGGGAAGTTATTTAATCACGGACAGGGGTCTCTCCAAACCATGGGGGTAGAGGTCATTATCCTGCTGGGATTCTGAGTCTCTTCTTTGGTCCTAGATGCTCAGCACCCTGGGCCTTGCACTGTGGTAGTATCCAGGTAACCACTGACAGACATAAACAAGCAGTCTAATGACTGGCTGTAATCAAGCTGGTGTGCGTAACATTGACCTAAAGTCACAGTGATCGGCAACAAGGAGCATCTTGGAATGTGAAGTAGATGGAAAGGAAAACCTGGATTGGAAAGTGGCTGGAGAGAAGCAGATGAGACTTACCAAGGAGTGCAAGGGTCCTTCATAATTGGGAGATGATGAGGCCTGACCTCCATTTCTTGACCAAACAGCAGTGCCTGCTGATAGTACAATGAGAATTAAAATTAGATTCATATCAACTTAATAATCAACTGAATGTATTTTTAAAAAATAGCCCTTTGATGCTGATGTTCTCTTAAACAATAAGGTAACTACATGTGAACTTCTCAGACCAGAATGCTGTGCAAGCAAAACATTTTCTTTCTTCCTTTCATCCTTTCTTTTGCCATGCTGGGGCGTAAACTCAGGGCCTATGTGCACATTAGGCCACTGAGCTGCTTCCCTAGCCCAGGAAAACCCTTGAAATGTAAAACATGTAGACTCTACATGGACCCTCAGTTCTTTCTTGAAGAGAACATTTAATGGAGTCTTAATTTCAGCTGGAAAGGCTCCTGGTAGAAGAAATCAGTTACTATAGAGTACTTTTAAGGGTACACAGGAGGAGGGGCTGTTAGATCTTTATGCAAGGCTAGTTTATGTTCAACCAAAATCCCCTCATCAATGGAAAGCACCTGTGCTATTTGTTTTACATGATCTATGGGTTGGCATTGTAGCTCAGTGGTAGAGCATTTGCCTTGCATGTGTGAGGCACTGACTTTGATCCTCAGTACCACATAAAAATAAATAAATAAAGGTATTGTGACACACATACACACACACACACACACACACACAAACACCCACACCTATATAAAGTGACCTATGAAATGAGATTATTTAGGAACATTTTTTGGGGGGGAGGGGCTGGGAACCTGGGGATTAAACTTAGAGCCCTGAGCCTCTTGGAAACATTTAAAAAGAATTAGACTTAGAAAAAAATCCACTAAACAGAAATTTTCAAACTCCATTCAATAGTAACAACTAATATTTTCTCTTGAAGAAAATAAACATATTACTATTCACAAAACCTGATGGTAAAGAAAGATTCTTATTAGAATGGGCTGGGGTTGTAGCTCAGTGGTAGAGCACTTGCCTATCATGTGTGAGGCACTACATTCTATCCTTGGAAACACATTAAAAAAAAAAAAGTACAGGTATTGTGTCCATCAACAACTAAAAAAAAAAAAATTAAAAGAATGCATATTCTATGTCTAACCTGCAAAATAAATAAAAAACCAATTTTAAATTTAATATGTATTTAGGGTACAAAGCTCAGAAAATACATAATTCAAAAAAAGAAAAAACTAATAGCTATGATCTCACTGAAATCTCATGCCCCAATGCTGTTAGCACTTTCAAAATCCATTCTTCCTGTCTTTTCTGGGTATGCCTGTGTATTTTTATGCTAAACAAAAATAGAATATTTTGTTCAATTACTTTTCTTGACAGAATTTGGACAGAGCCGTCAGTGTGAAAATAGCAATCTGTCCCCTTATTTATATCTTCATAAAAGTTCTTTCTCCCCAGCACGTGGTCTTCCCAGGATGCATTTCCAGGACCCAGAAAGTGGCATCTGCAGCCTTGTTTCTGTGCCTTCCACCTAGAACAGGCTGCACAGGCTGCAGGCACGTGTGCTAGTCCCCTGAAAGATTACGCATGCTGACTTTCTGGTCCCACCATAAGCTAGAAGCAGAGCCACAGTGTAGGAGCTCTGACATTACTATCTATCGCTAATGGCATAACCTTGGCAAGTTGCTTGCCCTTGCCCACCCATCCTCCTTCTCTTCCTTCCTCCCTTCCTTCCTTTCAAGGATAGTGGGAATTGAACCCAGGGCCTCTCTCATTCTAGGCAAAAGTGCTCTACCACTGAGCTACACCACCCATCTAAGGGCCTTGGTACACATATCCATAGAACTGGGCATTAGACTAAATTAGTCGTTCTTACAGTTTAAAACCTGAGAACATTGTTTGCTTGCTTGTTTGTTTTTTCTAAATTAGAACTCATGGAATTAGAGTTGCTTTGTTTGAAATGGGGAGTGAGGCGTTCCATCAACTCAGATGCTCTATCCCTATGGCCTCGAGTGCTTTCTACCCAATCCTTCTCTGGTTCTAGACACTGCATAAGAGATCATTTTTCAGAGCCTAAGAATCTGGTGCAGAACTAGAAGAGTACAACACCACCGAACTTCACTTTCCATTTGTGCCATGGGGAATAATACTTCATGATCCTCTTACGATTATCTTTATTTCTTTCAGTTTCAACTTGGCCTTTTTAGACACATGGATGTCAGAATGCAGTTACCCATCCCTTTTCTTATTCTGTGACCCTCCCCTATCATGGGGGCTTGGAAATAGCTGATATGAAATCGCATCTTAGTCGCAGTCATTACTTAGGAAAGTTCTGCAACAATCTGAAACTTTCCATTCTCTACCAGGGAACCCAATTTATAATGGGCCATATGAACACTGCATATAGGGGATAAAACAGGGTTTGAGGCTGCAACTTTTAGGCAAGGGATCCACTATGGATTACAGTGGATTACTGAAAACTGACCTACTACAATTCATACTAGATCCCTTGACTGTCAGTTTTCAGTCAGGAATGCATGTGATTTAGTTTTGTTTGGAAGCCATCTGTCTTTTTCCAGGGTGAGACAGGTATCAGGTAAGATTTTCTAGATGCACTTAAACAGGAAAGATATTAAGTCTTTTAAATGCATCTCTGAAACGTTAAATGACTTACTGACATATCCTTCAACTTATAATTATTCATTTTGAAGCCATATTTCATGTTAATTTGTTATATTTTAGAGGCAAACATCTCTTATGCTCCAAAAAAAATTGTTTCACAATTTATTTACAAAATTATAGTTTCTCTCAAATATTCCAATGGCACATATTTTAAAGAGGGAATAATTTGGAAAGGCTGAAATGTCTACAGGAAATGATCTGTGTAAGTAGCCTACATTTGATGACTATATAGTCTATATTCATATTTACAATTACATTAACCAAGTTTTTTCCATCTGAGATGTTTTGTTGGAATATATTATTCTGCTGTTGGGAGTCTTTGGCAGAGCTAAGAAAAGTTTAAGAAATAAATTTTTCATGTGCCTGTGTAGTCTAAAAGGATCATCTAATTTTTAAGAAAGATTTTGGACGTAAATGTACTGTCATATTGTAATCTGTCTCTCCCATCCTGTTTTATTTGTCTGTGATGTTTTTGGCTTGGGGGTGGAGGAGGGGAGTGAATTTCTATCTGCTACAGCAAATGTATAAAAGGGAAATCATTCTCAAAAATTGTTACTAGGATGAAATATGATTTAAGATACAGTACCTGAGAGAGAAGGAGGAGAGCCAACAGGAGTTGAAGGATTTGATGAAAAGCTGTTGTTAGTGTGATCTGGAGAATAGATCTTAAATGGTAAGAAAGAAAAAAAATCCTTCATTTATTAGGAATAAAAATTAACAGTTTTTAAAACTACAAAGCTACCAATGCAATTCATTTAAATATTACAAGTTATCAAATACATGTAAGCATCAACTATAGTACCAATACTCTGAAATGCAAAATGTAACACCTTCTTCTACAAAATGAGAGGTTAGACAGTATCATTTCTAAGGTTTTACCTCCAATGCCTTTCATTATAATTAGGGCATTCTGATTCCAAAGCTATAGAAGGCCCAGATTAAATAAGCACTTTTACTTAGGACACAATGTTAATATAAGCTGGATTTATTTTACAATCCCAATGGTTAGGAAAAAAGCAACCAGAGATAACCTCCACTTACATTTGCAACTGATAATGTTTAGCTTTTGACCAAAATATCAGGTATAGTTCCTCGGTCAAATAAGGTGTGCCATTTTGTCACTGGGGAGCATCCAGGAAGAGAACCATTTAATTCTGTCTTCCTAGTAGTGGGTGGGCAAAGCAGAGAAGCCAAGTCCCCCAGGTGCCAATAATGTGATGATTCCTCATTTTTTAAAAATGCCTATTCCAAAGTGTTTTAAAACTATCCTGGCAAAGCTAGCATTATAGGTCAGTGAGCACCATATGACTTTAGAAAATAAAAAGAAATCTACATAGAAAATCTAGAAACTGAAAGGCTCAGAGAATATCCCCAGATCAATAAGTGAACACTCTAGCTTAGCCAACACTGTGAGAAAACAAGATGGTAGAGACCAGCCATGGACAGGATACAAAACCGCGCCCCCTCAACTTTTCCAATGATCATTATGCAGGACAGCTAGCATTTTCCAAAAAATCAAAGACATTTGCCATTCATTTTCTAAAATTCCAAATGTCCACTTCTGATTAAAGTTCATCCTGCTACAATGGTATGCGTGGAGTCCAAAGTCAATATTTCCTCACCGAAGCAAGTGCTTTCCCCAGAGCGTCTCCAGTCTGGGAGCTGCCTGCTGCCCCGCTTCCTCTATTTGCTGCAAAAACAAAAGGCAGAATATGAAAACCAGGCAGTGAGACGTCTAACAATTTTCTATTCCTGGTCCATTTACTCACAATTTAATTGCATTTTTAATGCTAATTACAACACATTAATCTTTAATTAGCATTAATTTGTTTGCTGAGGTAGATGTCAAATATATTCATGTTACATTTTTTTTACAGATAAAATATAAACCTGACACCTTGGTTTAAAGACAAAGTGTTTTAGTTGCTATTACTTTCCCTCTTGCTGGTTAGGAGTGGTTGCAGGTGACCAGTCGCATGCCAACATGTGGTGGATATTGCTAAGGTGTAGGCAGCACTTCCAGGACACTCAAGTCCCCCAAATCCAGCTTTTCTTTATATATTTTTAAATATCAAATTGAATTACCTTTATGAATAATTTACACCTCTTTTCGAATAAAGAAAAACCTGATACCCAGCAAAATGGGGTTTTCCTCTGAGTGCTCCACAGCTGAATGAAGCAAAACCAACAATAAAAGAATTTATAACTGGTCCAGCTAACAAGGAGAGAAAATATTTTGAATACTTTAAATAACATGTTTTTCACACACTTAAATCCATGTTCACATTAAAAAAATATTTGACTGTTATGCTACTAAAAGTCAATATGTTCTCAAATTCTAGAGATAAAATAAGTCATAAAGCTTTTCTACCACCTTAAACATTGATATTTTATCTACAAAGTGAATTAACAAAGGATAGTATAATACAAGGCATATACCCCAGTGTATAAATGAAAGCCAGCTCTATTTAACATGTACCTTCTGAAGGTAACTTGAGTTTAAGACTAAATGGTAAAATGGGTGAGCCAGGGTGGGCAAAGCAGAGAAGCCAAGTCCCCCAGGTGCCAATAATGTGATGATCCCTCATTTTTTAAAAATGCCCCTGAGGATTAAAACGATGCCTAGAACTCGGGGCATGTTGTGTGTATTAAGGCTTCAATCCAAGCAAAGGGGCATAGTACTCAAACAAAACCTATGCAATTTCCAGGGGAAGATGTTCTCACTGTTTGGTGAAATGAAAAAAGGAAATCTCGAATATGCTTATGACTTAAGCAGAATTTCACCGCACACTTGTGTAATCTAAAACATTTTCCCAGCTGTACCAGTGAACCAGAGAGACCTTTTTGGGACCGGCAGGCCTCATCCTCTCCCTGACCTGTAACATGCAACGGTGTAGCCAGACCTTCAAGGGTCAAATCCTGTGCTTCTCCAGGTCCTGATTTCATTTCTCCTGGCCTCTGTTCAGCATAGTTAAGTTCTGCTTCTCACTTTTACATATTTAGATGTTGCACATCAGTTCCATCATCTTTTTTTWAAAAAAATATTGTTTTAGTTGTAGATGGACACAATATCTTTATTTTATTTATTTATTTTTATGTGGTTCTGAGGATCAAACTCAGTGCCTCATGCATGCGAGGCAAGTGTTCTACCCCTGAGTCACAACCCAGTCCACGTCATCTTTTGATACATGTTTATTTGGTTAACAAGACCTGTACACATATTCATTTGTGAATTACTAAAATAATGAAAGGAAACTGGTAATATGATCAAGTGAATATGATTAGACTCAATGAAAACCTCTTCTTTTACATATCACAAATTTATGATATTAAAACTACATGAGTTATTAGTACTCAAGATCATACACGTAAGAAATTTCTTGAAATCAGGGAATGGCATCCTAGAACTGGGCTAGTGGAAGAAATCTAAGCAGAAATCAAGCATATTCAAATTTTTAATATAAGATGAAAGATAAATGAAATTATATCTAGTGAGAAAATGAGAAGAATTTCTGTGTAAGTTCTTTAAAAACTAAACACAGCCATGGAGCTCAGTGGTGCATGCGTGTAATCCCAGTGACTTGGGAGGCTGAGGCAGGAGGATGGAGAGTCGGAGATCAGTCTCAGCAATTCAGCTAGGCCTCTCAATAACTTAGTGAGACCCTGTCTCAAAATAAAAAATAAAGCCAAAAGGGCTGGGAATGTAGCTCAGCAGTAGAGGACTTAATGCCCAAATAAACTAAAACCTAAACGCATTTCTGAATAAAATATAATGAAGATCTGAAGACACAGACAGCACTAGTAGTATTTTGCATTTATTATCATGGTATCTGGGAAAGGAAAATTGTCTTCTTTTCCCTCCTCTGTAAGTAACATTATCTTTTTATTATTATCCCAGCTGCTTGGGAGGCTGAGGAGGGAGGCTGAAGCAGGTGGATCCTGAGTTCAGAGCCAGCCTCAGCAACGGTGAGATGCTAAGCAACTCGGTGAGACCCTGTCTCTAAATAACATACAAAAAATATGGCTGTGGATATGGCTCAGTGGTTGTGTGCCCCTGAGTTCAATCCCTGGTACCCCTCACCCCCCCAAAAAAAATTAGAGTGAGCAATGAAAATAATTTGTGATATCTGTTTGATATGAATACAGATCTTCATGAAGTGTACGTTTAGAGCCACACTGGGGATGGGGGGGGGGATCACCTTATCTAACAAAGAACCTACACCAAAAAAAAAAAAAAGCTACTGTTTTAATTACAGATAAAAATTTGCCACAGAAGTAGTTTTCAAAAGGGCTTAAATTTTAAAAGATCAATTCTTCCTTTGAACAATTTAAAAATGAGAATTATGAATTTTTTTAAAAGAAAATTCATGAAACCAAACAGGAAGAATTGAAAACAAATAAAAATAATTTAAAGAATTTTACAAAATAAATTATATATCACACAAAATTGTACTTTAGAAGAGAGAAGATATTCCTGTTATGATTTCTTATAGCAGTACACCTTTCTAACTAAGCTTTCTCTTAGTGTTGGTTTTATAAACAGAGATACTAAGACTCAGGAAGTAGTACCAGAAATAGAACCATCTCCTTACCTCATCTTGTCATGAAAATGTTTCAGAAAACTACAAAGGCTACTCATGGAAGTCACTATAAGAACAGAGTATTTTTTAACATGAGGCCATGTTACCTTGCAACAGCTGGACCGCCAAACCCCAGGGCTTAAATTTCAAAGAAGTTTACTGGGGCCAGTTCACCCTCTCCCTGGGAATGCCTTTTGTTCTGTTCCAGGACACCCTGGAGGGGACACATGTTCAAGATTCCCTGAACATGTTAAGTGAAATGGGTCCTTCTCTTAAGAGATTTCTCTTTTTTGTGTCTGACGGACATATCAAAGGGCATACGGAATCAGAAAAGGAATATACTTTTAATCTCAAATGGTCCAATTTTTTCCCCTCCTCCTCCTCCTCCTCCTTAAACAAATGAATCATGTTTAGCAAAATCTGTATCAAATTTACATTTTCAGCTTTACTATATCAGTACCTGATTACTCTCCAAGCCTAAGTTTTGGTCAACTTATATCACCAGCAATTACCCAAATGCCCCTTGTCACCGAAATATGGCCTTCACTTGGGAAGGGCTGTATGGATTCCTTGCATTTGTTTGGTTCTAATCGATTTCTCTTGCTCAAAAGAAAAAATAATCAGCCTCTGAATCGAGTGGCAAGATAAATATGGATGGGAGATGAGCAGTTATGAAGAGGAACTGTAATTTTGTAGGAGGATTCCACACTGCCAGCCACCCAAGAATTGTTCAGTGGGACAGATCACAGGTGCTGTGGCCGGCTGGAAGATGAAGCGGCAAGCAGGGCCTCGGAGCCGGGCTGCGTGCTGGACCACCCTGTGTCTTGGCCTTGGCTTTGGGGAAGTGGCAATTCCCTTCAGAACACACCCGAAACAAAACCCTGGGAGGAGTGGTGCCTGGGGATCAAGTTCTGAAAAAAATCAGAATTTGGAAAATGTGTTTCCCTTTTATTGCACACTCATAACCTGAGGCCGGGAACATCATGAAGACATCAAAGGAACAAGAAGTGCAATCCGTGGTGTGTTTGCCTTAGCGAGGACAACTGCTTTAGCATGAAGTTTCTCTGAACTGTGTCCGAGTGACCCTTATGTCATAAAACCAGTAGGAGCAGCATTACAATGCCCTGAGCTTGTCTGTGAAGATGAGCAAAAGGGGAATGTTTCCCGCACTCCTGCTACTATGGCATTTGTAGAAGAAAAACTCGAATATGGTCTGCAATGCTGGAATACGGAGTAGGAAGGATTCCCAGGAATGAATACGGGGGTGGGGAGGGGCGCGCTTGTGACCATGTGCAGGAAACGGTGAAGAGGACTTAAAGGAGACTGGCTTGTTGTTCTGCCTTGGTGGTCTCTAACTACCAAACACCCAACACGATGCTGCTGGATACGACTCACATTACTCTGTTACTCTGTGCCTGGTCATCACCCAACTGTATCTGAAGGCTCAAGATCCTTGTAAAATACAAAGTGGATGTTATGTGACTAATCATAAAATGACTGTGAAACCAGGTCCTCCAGGGAAAAGGGACACAATGTTTCCACGAGAAAGTCACATCCTAAAATGCATCATGTCATACAAACATGTCATTAGAAGTGAAAGTTGTTAGCCAGATTAATTCATGATCCAGCTGGATAGTTCAGAGTAATCTTCAGCACATGGTGTATTAAATCAATCTTGGTAGTCTGTTCCTTCAACACTACTTGGTTTGAGCTTTGAAAACATAGGAAATATCTTGCATTAGGAAGCGGGCCAGTGGAAGACTAATAAAACAACAATAGTTATTATATCCATTATGTTAGTTATATGCCCGATTCCTTCCAAGGGGAAGGGAGGATGTTGAGCCCCAAGCCACAAGGGGTACATTCTGTGAATGTACACAGATGGCAACTCTCAGTGGGGAGCTGGAGAGAGTGCTCAGAGGCTCTCAGCTTGAAAAGTTTCAGTGGACTGGACTATGGTCAAGGGTCCTCTTACTTCTGGTCAGGAAGGGCTACATACGGCAGTTAGGAAGGAAATACGTGGATAGCAAAATGCACGTGGCTACTTTCCTGTAGTCATTTCTGTTCTCTCTAGCTTGTACTAATAATTTATTAACTTTCCTTCTCTGTCTGTAGGCTCACATGCACAGGAATTAGACTACTCTGCTTTTGAGATATACCAGCAGCATAACATTAGAAGGGTTTTAGGAATCAAGTTGAAGGCTCTAATGCTGGTAACCTAAAAGCTTCTCTCCTTAATGGGGCGCTACACCAGCTGAGCTACTGTGAATCTGTGCTGTGTTCTACCTATCACTTTCATATAATTCCAGGGTACTTAAGACCCTCTTTCAATTCAGAAATGGGTAAAATCATCTCTAGAGTTTGCTAACAAGGTTTGAGAGTAGACTGCATGTCACAAATAAAATATTTCAGTCTTTAATTCTCTCATTGATTCATGAATGAATGCATCATTTAAAAATAAAACCCTCTCATTAATATAATCTAAGTTTGATTACTTCCTAAAGGTTTCTCAAAAAAACAATACTGGGGATTAAAAGACAAGAGAAAAATAAAACCACGAAACAATGGTCACTTCTTCTAAGCAAAACAAATAACAAACTACCCCAAACCTCAGTGATCTCTTTCCCTCTGTGAAATGCATAAGATGGACAAGAATTCGGTGTGCAGTTCCAGAGAGGTTACTGTCTGATGGCTCCWGAGCTTCAGTCTCACTCCATAGGCCTGGGCTAGACTACTCTCATTTCAGGACAACTGCTGACCACTAAGAAGCACACTGCTACCTGAAACTGAGACGCAGACCTGGTCTTCTGAATTGAGAAGGCCACTTCCTGAGACATCGACGCTGTGCATTCAAAAGGATYGCACTGCCTTGCAACTTTTTACCAAGAAAACTTGAAAAATGTGACATCCATGTGTTAGTGTTTGAGCCCCATTCTTAWGGCATTAGTATTGCTTACAGTTATTTTCTACAGAATCATGTGTGTAATCTCAAACATGTGTCAGGCTATGTGTTCCCTATTTACCAATTATTTAATTAGCTCTGTTTGTTCTTTGAGATATAGGCAACGTAATATTTCTTTATTTCCTGCATTTCAGAATGAGTGAATGTACGCCAAATATTTTCAAAAGTCTACAGATGTATCCTATTAATCCATACAGTTTGTTAGTGAAGTATCACTAACACCAGAAGAGAAAGCTTCTTTTCTTGTCATACAGACATGGTGCCATTGCTGCCTTCAACCACCCACTAAAAACCAAACTGAAGTCTAAGAAAACTGAAGTGGGAAGAAACATGATCCTTGGGAACACTGCGAAGTACGAAGGCTTATCATCATCCTTAAATTTTCTTTGTACATAAAGAATTGGAAGACATGYTATTTTTAAGGGAGAACTTTCTAGAATTCTAGGAACCTTAAAGTGCTTTCTGCATTTACGCAAATTAATGGTAGCCTATTCCTCCAAAAAGTTGAACTGTCATAGCTACTTACATCCTAAAAGATTATAAACTTTTTCATATTCTGCTAATGGATTTTGACAAGTACATGCATTATTGTGAGCTATTTCATGTAATAAATTTCCTAAAAATTCCTTTTCTGGCTTTCAAAAACYCTATACTTTTCTCTTTTCAAATTAGATCTCTTTTATTACTTTCTAGACCCTTAGCAGGGTTCTGTAGTCTCTAACAAGTTGAAGCCACACTAAAAATGCAGAAGCCACACATGGCTCCACTGGACCCAGACCCACTGAGAGGACAGTCCTGGGCACTGACAAGCTCATGATGAGGCACCAGCTGAAACCAAGTAGATCTCACTCCCACTGTGCCTGTGGCTAAGCTGCCCAGAGCTCACTAAGGATGATTTACATGATCGCATAATATCTCTTTCTTCCTAAGTCATAGTGCCTTTCCCACCAGGAAGATTGTTTTGCAGATTAATCTACTTTTTTTTTTTTTTAACAGAGCCTAAGTATGTATTCCTCAACTCAAGGGTCTGCTCCACCTTCATACCTTCCTAAAAAAGAAAATTACTCAAACCACAAGTAGACAGGAAATCTGTCATGTAAGAGGATGAATGACTGGTCATTCTCCTTTATAACCAGATCTCATGACAGCAGAAAGGGGCTTTCCATTTGTCAAACCRCACTGAAGTGAAATATGCTTTTCTCTCTCTTTCAGTTCTGCACTTTTCTTTCTTCTTGTTTTTCAAATCTGCCAAAAGTGCACTGAGAGCTAAGAAACTTCCCCATGTGACCTCTGTCCAGAGCTCTCCAAGGTCAAAATGGTGTAACATACTCCTAGAAGTTTTATTATTAAGTCACGGAAATGGAAACTCTTTCCTAAACCGGCTTCTCCGTGAGGCATGATCGTGGAGGGCTGCTAGATGGATCACCCCAAGAGTGAAATAATTTACCGAATAAGCAGAGAAGGTATTATTTAGGCAGAAATTATATTTGCAACATTTCAAAATGCATCTCCTTCATCAAAAAACGCTCCCACATAAGTGATTCACATCACTTCCAAAAGTTCTACAGACCATCAAAAAAAAAAAAAAAAAGGAAAAAACTTTCAAGAACTAAGAAGGATAAATAGCAGCATTATTCTGTCACACAATGTTCTCTCAAAAACAGATTCTAGAGTATTCTCATTAGTGACCCTCTGGGAATGATCATGAGGCCAAGGGAAGTGTGGACTGAACTAGAACCAGAGGGAGTAGTGGCCAAGGACGTCAGGTTTCAAGGAGGGCAGGTAACGCCAAGGTGGAGCTCGCTGCCCATGTGGATGGAAGCCGTCGGGGCAGATCCAGGAGTGGCAGCTGCCTCCCTCTAGGGTAGCGGGACCCCCTGCCTAGATTTTCCCTCAGGAGGAGAGTACTTGCAGGCGAGGACCACAAGGCAAGTCATGACAATCAGGGACAATCTTCTTGGCCCTTAACTCAATACAGAGGAGTAGCCAGTCCTTTCTGGCCTTCTAATGCCAGCCATCTTCTCTCTCTCCTGCCGGAAGCACTCCATCATGCCACATTCTCCAGAGGCCTGAGCGCACCTCGCTATCAAGAGTCACCTGAGCCATTTCACAGGAGGAGGGTGTCACCGTCATGGCTAAGGACTTAGCAGAGAAATGGATCTGGGAAGTGGCAAATGACAACTGTTAAGAGTTATTCCGGCCCCTTTCTTACCTGTCTTCCATGGCTGGTCTTAAGAGGGGTTCACTTTGTTCACTTAAACCCTTGTTAAACGTAATGTCTTCTAATAGACAAAGAAGCCAGATTTCAGTTTCTTAGGACCAAAACCATGGCTATGATCAAGCCAGTGATTATTTCTGTTTGATTCACTTGTCTGTCCATTCTGTTGGGTGACAAGTGTCTGTCGCTTGCCTGCTGTTCAGTTCTATGGGTAAAGAGCGCCCGGCATGGCATTATCAACCCTGATGCGGACTCACCCATGATACTGTCCGTCCCGTTGGCAGGAGGCGTGCAGGAGGAGGTGCTGTAGTGGTTTGTGCCACTACGGTGGAAAGTGGACATCGGAGGAAGACTGGAATTGATGTCTGCTGAGGAGTGTGATGGATAGCTCTAGAGAAAGGAGAGAAAGGAGCCACATTCAATCACAAGATACTTAGTGAGTGCGTTTTCTGATACTTCTTTCAAAACTCTCCATTCTGCAATGGAGATAAGCTTTCAGAATTTCAAAATAGGTAAGCACACATCTTGCTTAGACCTGACAGCTTTCATTTTTCAAATAACAAAATACACAGATAGCACAGTTGGTTTGGGTTTGCATCAAATGTTGAGGTGGACCATGGCAACACAGGACACCGAAAAATGATCCCAATCTCTAAGTCTACAAGTCATGGTTCAAAATCATCTCCAAGACTTCAGCCACATAAAATACCATTTCTCCTGTTATTTTCATGGCCTATTGGTAGAGTTGAACTGATTTCACTAAATAACACATAAAACAAACAGTAAGAGCCACAGATTTACATTATACTTCATCAAACCTTCTGAACACTAAATGGCAAAGTTTCAAATCTTCCTGTCAAAGTGGATTATCCTTCTGAATCTCAGCAGCAAGAATAAAATAGTGAAGGACAAGAATTTAAAAAGCACTTATGCTTATCTCTCTCCCCAAGTATCAACATGGAAAGGCCTCTCCCGGTGGCTGTCCTGAGTGAACCTGAGCCAATCTGAACTGAGAATGATGGATTTTGACTTGAATTCTTTCTTTGTATACCCTATCCATGTGGATGACTATGAAATTCACGTTATTTTAGGCATTAATTTGATTTAAGGCTGGGCTTTGAGTTTGATTGCTAAACTAGTTGTCCAAAATGTGTCTTTGCTTGTGGCAGATCACAGAGGCCGTAAGGCAGTAAATTAGACACAATCTGCCTATCTGCCAATGAGAACATCACTAAAGGTTCATGGTTATTTACAAAGGCACACCAGCCTATTTTTCTTTTCAAGATAAAAAGGTATTGAATGTGTTGTAAACGAAAAATATTTAAGATGAAATAAACTTTTTCCTTGTATGTAATTATCCTTCCAAGGACTATGGATTATAATATTATTGGAGATGCTGTGAAAATTATTTAATTTTAAATTAGCGATCAAATATAATGCTGATATTCAGGGATGCTTAAGGGTACAACATTTGCTCAGAAGGAGAGAATCTAGTGTCTTGGTAGTTCCCTCTTGATTTTGAGAACCACTCTGAGTTCTGCTCTTCCTGGAAGACTGATTGATTGCCTTAGGACTTCTAGCTCTGCCATGGTCTCTTCCCTTCTAGGAGTTCCTAATGCAACTGTGCTATTTAACGCTCAATCCTATGTTGCCTGTCACTCAGGCTCTTTCAAGTCCATTTCCAACTCTTGAAGGAGACAGAATGAGGTTGGGGGTCTCTGCATGTCACAACTTATGGCTGAGTGCTAACACACAATGACACTGTAGGTTCAAGGAGTAGTTTGCTATCACAGTTTAATAAACAAAAGCTTGAGATCATGGCGTATTTGAGAGAAAACTAAATGGTCTAGAAAATCCATCTACATTTTAGAGCTGGATTCACCAATGATACATGGATGTCTTTGAAAATATTACCCCTGCACATCTAAAATAGTCCAACTTAAAAGACTTTAGAGAAGTAGGCATGGTGATGCATGCCTATAATCCCAGTAGCTCAGGAGGTCAAGGCAGGAGGATTGTAAGTTCAAATCCAGCCTCAGCAACTTAATGAGGGTCTAAGCAACTCAGCGAGACCCCGTGTCTAAATAAAAAGGGCTGGGGATGTGCCTCAGTGGTTAATTGTCCCTGAGTTTAATCCTTGGTTAAAAGAAATAAGAAAAAAAAAAAAGATTTCAGAGAAAGAATACATAGGGTAAGCTTAAACTGCTCTAAGTTCCTGAGTGTGCCTTTTGAGCTTTTACAGTTCATGGACTCTTTCCCTGAACAAAAAATTCCTTAGGCTACCTGTTAAACTCCGTTTTACGTGACACTTGAATTTCCTAAGTAGTCCATGGAATTTTCTCTAAGAATAATAAAGTGGGCCCGTTCTGCAGCAAAGCTAACCTGAAAACTAGGCAGGCCAAGGGACACCAATCTTGAAAGAGCAAGGTTAGAGTTACTTATGCTGTAGGGCTAAAGACTATAATAAAGTATAAAGGAACAATGTGGAAAAAGAAATAAAAAAAGAAAATGAGATGGTGTGAGTTCACTTCTACACAGCTCTATTCCTTGCTAAGATTTTGGAGAAGAGACAAACTATAAATCAGTCCTAAGTGTGTGAAAACCTAAAAAAGAAGAATAGAATTACACAAAATATTAAATAACATTATAATCAGAAGAGGACACAGGGAAATTTTATCAGTGAGATTTTGGACCCCTTGACCTTTATATAAAATGGACAGTGATTTGACACACAAAGGGTTACCACTGAATTCAGAGAATAAAAAGAAGAATTAATCCCCACAGATTTTTAATAGGGGAAACCAATGCAATCCTGTTAAATCAGTTATTTTTAGAGATTCAGAAAATTAGATGCTGAGAGAAATTAATGAGATTTATGACTAGATTACTTCTCAGTGAAAGTATCTTGAAAACTACTGTCACTCAGAGACATAATAAACACACCACAGAGACCATTAGTGATATGAGAGTAACGTCTCTTTTAGAGGATTTAGAGATCAACTCTAAGAGGTTCTCTTAGTCTCTTCGTCCATCTATTACTGTCTGTTCGGCTGGCTACGAAGGCACAAGGGGCACATGATAAAGGGAATGCTTGTGGCTTTCCAAGCCCACTGTTTATTTTTTACTTTTTTTTTTTTATGGTACCGAGGATGGAACTCAGGGGGCACTCAACCACTGAGCCACATCCCCAGCCCTATTTTGTATTTTGTTTAGATACAAGGTCTCACTGAACCGCTTAGCACCTCACCATTGCTGAGGCTGGCTTTGAACTTGCCATCCTCCAATCTCAGCCTCCTGAGCCTCTGGGATTACAGTTGTGCACCACCGCGCCCAGCTCTTTCTACTTCTGATACCCATGATCATGTATTTAGAATCTACTGACAGAGCAAGTGTTGGAAATGTTTGCTTGGTGATTTTTTTTTTTAATCAACTTATGGGTTGATAAACTAAAAATTACAAAAATATAATACTGGTAGCTCATATTAAGAAATAAAATCATGTTTTGGGCTAAGGTAGGGTTCCATGGCCTTGGCATTATTGACCTTCCATGCTGGTCTCCTGTGCATCACATTTACCACAACTCTGGCTTCTACCCACTAGATTGCAGTAGCACCTACCTCCTAGCTACAACAACAAAAATGTCCCCAGACATTGCCAAAGGTTCCCAGAGGGCCAAAATCACTCCTAATTGAGAAACACTGGGTCAAATGATTTATGTTACAAAAAGTAAAAGACAATAGAAATTTCATCATATTAAAATTTTAAATCTCCTCCATTATTTCACTCTGCAGGGCAGAGACTATGCCAGACAGTGAGGACTCCATCCTATTTTTTTTTTAAAAAAACTCTGCCAAGTCACTCCAAACTTAAATCTTCTGCAACAACCCATTCCAAAGCTTAACCACAAACTCCATTCATCTGGGTGATTTTGTGTGTGCATCTGCGACAATAGTGATCAGCTGTGGGCTCCTGTGGCACAGGCTGATGCTGTAAAGGGGATTTAAAGGCTTAAAATAGGACTTGACAATCACTATTGAAACACGTGGACTTCGAGCTTTGTAATTACACATTCTATCATAACATGGCATAAAGTGATGATGGCAATAATGTCTCTAAAACATTTTACCTTTAGAGATAATATATATGTGGTCAAATTATCCCCAACATAATCCGGAGAAAGTTCTCTTTCTTCCACCATCCCTTTATTCAGAATGAGACTAGGCAAATGCTACAGACTAAAATCATAAGGAACTATTTCTATTTTCAAGTGAAAAGACACTGACTGCCACCGGTATATTCAAATTATTCTCAGTCAGCATCAGATTCTCTAAGTCACTTCACCAAGAGATTTTCATATGGTGAAATACTGAAATTACAATGACAACTAGTATATAATTCAACAGATCCACTCTCAGTGGGGAAACTCAGTAAAATATCTTCCCATAAACTTTATTCATTTACTCTTTAAGACAAAACCTTACTCTCTGAAACCTGCTAACTGATCAGGTTAAGAAGGAAAACCTTGTGCTCTGTGATGGACAAGTGACATTGCAAATTTGACTTCTCATGCAGTCTTTAGGGTTGTTTCTTCAAAATGATCTTTCTTCCTGGTGGGTAATATTGTTTGGGGTCACTAAAACGTTTTCGTAGTTGGTTTCTATTTTGAAATTACACTTTTGGTGCATGTGAGCGTATTTTAAAGATACCCCTCCCCAAGCCATGGAGTCAATTGGGTTTTAAAATGAAATCACCTACTGCAAAAACTCTAGATCATGACAGGAAATGAAAGAAAAAAAATTACAGGAAAGAAAGAGAACAAACATCAAATAGACGGCTTTTTCAGAAGATGGAAATTCCAACATACGAAGAGAGGGCTCCCAACTTCTATGTGTAATCAAAACTTTGCTAGGTTTGCTCATGGGTTCCTAGAGAAGTGGAAAATGATAGTGGAGAAGTAAAAATGAGAGCCAAAAGAAATTCTAGTATAATAATAGTTAATATTTCTCCAATACCTCTATGTAGGAGGTGGGAGAAGAGGAAATTTGAAAGCCAATCATCTGCTCTTTACTGAAAATGGGCTAAAATGTGAGACAGTTTGTGATTTACACACTTGAACTTGGGAGAGGAGACAAAAAGGCCAATTCCTTCTCTACCATTGGCCCCTCAGGAATGCGTAGGCTAATCGACCATGTGATGCCTCCATCCCTAGGACTAATTAAATATGCACATCCAAGGAGATCAGAAGTATAAACTTCTAGAGTCTTTATGGTTGTGAGAGTAGAATGTAAGGCCCCTTTTCGCTCTGTGAAGCAGTTAAACACAAGAGGAAAGACCACAAAAATCAGAGGAAAAATCATAAATGTGGACATGAGGAGAACAAAATGTGCAAACTGGGACAGAAAGAGAAGTGAGGCAAGCACCACTTGCACCAGGACTGGCCAGGTCCTTTTGCATTGGTAGATTTGAGGTCCAGACATTTTTTTTTTAACACTAAATCACTGCACAAGGGACTTGAGCCCCATCTGATTTGCACCCCAAAACTAATTCATAACCAAGACTCTTCTGTTTCACTTAATGGTAGACTTAAATTCCTAAGTGGATTCTGGGCTGTGGTAATTTTTCAGTCTATAAACAGTCATTTGAGTTGCTTCCTTAGGATAAATAGATTTCTTTTTAGGAGGGATGAGAGTACCTGGAAAATACAAAGTCTTTCCTTTGCATGCTCCACGGCAGGTCAAAGTTGACATGGAAATGCCCATATGTGATGCATACAAGCTACTCCAAAGTCACTGAGTGGCCCTGTCCTCTGATGAATATCTTAGAAAAGCTCAGAGAACCAAAACAGGAAAAGGAACCACAGCTGAAATCCTGTCACTTGAATAGATTGTGTGTCCTTACCAAAAGAAACTGAGGCTATGATAAGGAAAGCACAGATTGAAATACAATAAACAAGAGGACAATGACAAAGAGGATCTAGAGGGCTTCCAAAGGTAACCTGACTGTCAGGTCTCCATCAGAAAAACATACAACAGTAAGAATAATGGGAATGTGCCGMGACTGCATTTATTTGCAGAGTCCTGTGCACACCCATGAGAAGACAGAGCTGAGGTTTCGCACAGGAGCCCTGTTCCCCCCATCCCTGCAAAAGTCCACCTTACCAAACGCTCATGTGGATGCAGGCTGCAGTAGCTGCTAGACTGTGGAATATGAGAAGAATTGCCCAACATGCCTCCGTAGCCAGGCTGACTCATCCCACTGGAGGAGCTCCAAGGGTCACTGCTGTGATGGCCATCTGTAAAGAACAAAGGAAACCATGACTTTTCTGAGGCATTCAGCCTTGCCTTATAGAATAGGGGTTTTTCATATACTTGAAAATGACCGCCTGTTGTGTATTCATCTTGGTGTTGGTTAGCTAATTACATCAGAAGACAGTCATCATTATTTTCACCCCCGAGAGGCTCTGCATTATCAAACAAACAGAAACATTTCACAAAGTTAGTGCTCTTAGTAAGAGCTCAACTGTAAAAGAGCATGTTTCTACAGCAGCATTACGTTAAGTCAGCAAGGTAATGAATGCTGGAGAAACATTTCTTACAAATCTCTGACCAATGCCCCCAACTTTTTTTTTTTTTTAATAAAAATCAACTACAAAATTAAATTGCTCCTGAACTTTGAGGTAAAAATAAAATACTTGAGACATTATAGAGATGGTACGTTTACAAGTTTTAAAAGCCTACAATGAAATAAGTAAAAAAAAAAAAAAAGCATCTGATTGAAAAGGTTTGATTTTATTTTTGTAACATTCATAATAGAATTGATATTATAATTATATTATGATATGTAGGGAAGAGGACTCTAGGTTATGGTTGTTTTTATTGTTATAGAGGTATACAGCTGTCTTCAACCTTTAGTAGCAATTCAAAGAGTAGAATCATATCATGAGGTAGATACGATGCTATAGAGAATTTTGAGAACCCCTGGATTTTACAAAATTATTTATAAGTTAAGAAGAGGTTTCAACTAAATGCCGAATGTAGAAGAGAATTAGATGTGTGCAAATTAATTGTGCTTATCATTCGGCGGTAGGGAGAGAGAACATGGGAAGAGTAGATGAACTTTAGACAGGGCAGAGGGGTGGGAGGGGAAGGGAGGAGATATGGGGTTAGAAATGATAGTGGAATGTGATGATCATCATTATCCAAAGTACATGTATGAAGACGCGAATTGGTGTGAATATACTTTGCATACAACCAGAGATATGAAAAATTGTGCTCTATATGTGTAATAAGAATTGTAATGCATTCCGTTGTTATATATAAATAAAAAAATTAACAAAAAGGAGGTTTCAAACTATATGGCAACTATGTGAATATCTTTTACAATGAAATTAATCTTTTGTGAACACCAGATTAAGAACAGTCCTACAGATTCTTTCCATTCCCTGACCTTATACATGGTTTCTATTCTTTCAATAGTTAAACAAAAATTATTAAGTGCTGGATATAGACCAGGAAATCAGCTGGGTACTAAATGGATAGCAAGAATTGGTTCTCAGAAATATGGTTATTTCCCCATAACATTTTATTTAACAAATCCTTTTAAAAATTTAGGTAATAGGCAAGTTAAGTCTGATAATGTATTTCATGAAGCTGATTTTCACTGAGTGTTTAAACCCAGAAGTTTGAATCTTAGGATGGGACAAGTTTCAGAACAGACAGGAAGAGATGGTAGATTTCTTTCTTCAAGAACCAAGAAGCAAAATCCTGTCTGTGATTTTTGACAACTTTTAGAGTTTTAATGAGGAGATGGAAATTAAAGTTAAAAATAAAGAGGCCACAGTAGTAAGTTTAAAATATGCCTTAGACAATCTCCGAATATCTTTTGCCTTAATTGCATAATTTTAACCACTAAATTCTCAGGGTACCATTGCATCCCTCTATTGAAGGAAGCTGGTGTGAGACAGGATCACGCGTGATGCCACCTTTCCTGATTTGTCATATAAAACACAGGAATTTTAAGGAGTTATCATTCAATGTGCTTTAGACGGAGTCCTCAGATTACAGAAGTTTAAATGTCACCCTAAATTCAAATATGAAGTTGAAGACCACTAACATTTTAAATAGAAGGCACATTTGACAAATAAATTGAGAATATATGTCATTGAATAAGAGCCTTTTGAAACATTCTGACAGTGTGATGCATGGGGGCAGTACATTCAGGATTGTTAACGCAGAATGTTCTACTCAGTGCAGACTTATATAAATACACATTTTACATAAATTATGCTTTTCACAGTAAATTAATATTTATCACATCCCATGATCTTGGCATAATGTTGTTTTGAAGAATAGAATTAGATGCGTGCAAATTAATTGTGCTCATCATAAATGTCAACTCAGTTTTCTGTTGTTTTTTTTKGGGGGGGTGGGTGTTCATATGCAGAAGAACAAATTTGCTCCCCACATTTTGTGTGGGTTGCTACGAAAAGGCACCTCCTGTTTCGATCTACCTGGACTCCCCTACAACATGCATAGTTCAAGCAAGACACTTTTCAGGCAGATCAAAGAAATCTGTCACTTTCCTCAATGAAAATCTACTTGGAGTGATGAATCCCTGAGTTGACACCTGTGAGCACCTGTAGCTCAATTTCTCCCACGCTTACAGAGAGAGGAGCTGATCAGAGGTAGCTGCTGTTTGTAGCTAAAAGTGGTGAGCCCTTTGTCATGACCAACCTGCTGTGCCTCTTTGAGAGTTTCAACTAGGATGGATCTTGAAGACCAAGGATCCTCATGAACATGAGAATCCATTATTGTGTGGAGCAAATTCTCTCTATTCCCAAGAGACCCATTTCATTCAATTTTATAGATTTTCCACGGAACCTCACATGTGAACTAGCCATCTAAGAAAGCGAACACTCTGAAGGGAAAGAAGATAAGTCCCCTTTCATCAGGAAGATTTTGAGAGTGCTCACTGTTATCTGTGTGAGATATCATGCTGTTCCCCTGGAACATTCTGCTCCAACTACATTCTCGTTCTCTTCCTGTGACTTGGCACTTCTTGGAGTAGCATAAAGAGGGATGTCCCGTGGCACTTCAGCAAGACACACTCTAAATACAGTGCTCCTACCCAGGCAAAAAAGTTAAGTTTCTGCATACAGGGCTGCTTGGTAAACTCTGTATCTAAATTCAGGGTAAGKTGGCAACAAGATCATTACATTTTGAAAATAAGCATCATGGGCAAAATCAGGGATGGAGCCCTGAGCTGCATCCTCTGAACCGTCCATTCTTAGAGTAGCTGCTGTCATTTTAACCACCTTAGTCTTTCCAAGGCAGCAGAAAGGAGCCTTCTACAGGGGCAATAAATATACTCTGGGGGACACAACACCCATCTGCTTTTCATTAAATAGACTGGACAAGTAGAAGAACAAATATGGTTTACTGACCATGAAGCTACATTTTTCTACATTTGCTGTCTGGCCCCTCAAAAGTTGGGCCTTACATCCAAAATGAGTTAGCATGTTGGGATTGAGTTTCACCTTAAGTGTTCACATCACCTTTAAATGGAATTAAAAGGTGGTTTTAATCCCGACTAAATCTAGGATGCTCAAAACAGAGACTAAGCTGAAACACTTTGAACTACACAACCAGCGTGGGGATGGTGAAAATGCTGAAATGGTCCATCTTGTAATTCCAACGGCAGCCTCAGCGCTGAATGAGGCAGACTCACTTTACCTCCACTCATTAGTGCTCAGGAAGTTACAGCCTCAAAAACAAAAAAAGTCTTATAAATAAGTTTTGGTTAATTAATTCACTTTGAAGTAATTCAGTCCTAAGAAGTTCCATTTGTCTCCCCACTTGTCTGGGTTCTGTTTAGTCCCATTCACTACATCTGAAAACCCTTTGGATTCCCCCGGGATGCAGAAGGGCCTTACCTTGCATGAAGAAGGAGCTAGGGAAAGTGCTGGCTGCTGGCTTTGAGGAAGGGTAGCCTGGCGAGTCCCTATTGTAGTCGGCAGTGCTTGCTGATGGAGCATAGACCTGAGGAAGGAGAACCAAATGAATGTTGCTTTCTGCATTGACCAAAGCATCTCCACATCCACTGTTTGATAAGAAGCAGGCTCAAAATGTTAATTTCTGACCTTATCCAGTCTAAGACCGATCAAAACCCCAGAAAAGCTGCCCCTTTCAAATATAGGAGGCGGGGGCGGGGGAATGTTCAGTAAATTTGTGTGAACAGAAAATAACCAGGTATGAGATTTTCCAGTCACAGACCACAATAGTGTCAACCATGTGGAGCTGTAAACATACTATGTAAGACCCCTGGGGTAGTCCTGAGTCTAAGCATCTCTGCTTTCTAAACACAGATGGCCCATGAGCACATGAAAGGTAAAAGCAGAAAGATATGCACCCAATCCAGCTTCTCCGAAAAGACAGAGCACAACTTTCAATTAAAAATTTCACTGGGGGAGGGGAATGAGGACAGGGAGGGGGGGGGGGGAACACAAATGAAGCATCCGGACCACAGAAAGCGATAAATCTATCTTGGACTATTAAATTCCCATAGTGTCAGCTTTTTTGCAGAGATGCATGAAAAAGGCTATTTTTTTTTTTTAAAGCCTGGATCTAGACAAGACCACCAACAATCTGAGTGTACACAGGAAGAAGGGGGCCTCTTCCTTAGTGCTTATTGTATTTGTGTGTACCATAAACTTTAAAAGCGAGCCAAAAATCTCATTTACTTCCATTCGTTTACTAATACTCAGGAGACTTGGGGAACTAGTTTTTATAAAAATAGCCTGTGTGTATTTTCTTGTTTATGTTTCTTTCAAACAGGACACCATATTAGAAGAGCGTTAATTCATAAGGTATAGTTTAACTATCAACTGGTTTTCCTTGCCTTTCTTTGCTCTCTCTCTCTCTCTCCTCTCCCCCTGTCTTCTTTCTCTCTGTGTGTGTTTACTTATTTATTTTTAATCCCCATTTTCTTTCACTCTCCAAGTTTCTCTCTCCAGATTGTCGGAAAGACTGAAACCCTGTCATCCTCCTKATGAAAATGGATACCTTCCTGCCTCCATTTTGAAGCAGACAGTGGCTCACAAAATTGGCACTGAGCCTACAGTGACGGTCACAGAGAAAGAAAAAGGAATTCACCAATAAAAAGGCAACTGCCGGGTTACCCAAAAAATAATTCCCATGTCTTTTTTACAGTACACACCGAATAAACACCCAAAGAAAAATTATATAATTGATCTCAGAACGCCATGAATCACAAACTAAGCATTAATACAGGGTTTAGAGTTTCACAAAGGGTAGGACCATAGAGACAGATGTGGGAAAACATGCACATACACCCATACATCAAATAAATGCTACAGGCCCCACAGTGTCCTTGAAAATTGGGAGGTCCTAGAGATTAAACAAAACAAAAATAAACCGGAGAGAGCCACTCACCCTTTGGAAAACAAGGATTTTTTTTYCCCCCTAAATCATAGAGGGATTTAAGCACCGTATTTCATAAGATTTTATTTTATAATTTTCTTCCCATTCTAAATGTAAAAATAGCAATTCTCTTTTATTTCCACAGTGATCACAATAAGGGGAAAAACATTTTTCAAGTGTCTTTAAGAAACAAAGACTAAGATGGAGGGCAGGAATCCAAAAACAAATCAACAACCTAAGTTCTGTCAAGTCAGTCCCAGTATTTTCTGGAGAAAAACATGASTGACTAACGGCAGTTTGGGAAGTATGACTACATGTATTTAGAGGTCCTCAGAGAAGGCTCAAGGACGAAACAAATATCGCCTTCTAGGAAAAGGGCGAACTGAAAATTAAATCATCTCACTCCAAAGCCAGAATGAGCAGAATCTCACTATGACTATCAACCTGCCATTATCCCGACACACATTTGGCCACCGAGGTCTGACACAAGCACCACACATGATTCCCAAAATTTCAGAAATCATTATATATTTACTACAAAACTGAAAATAAACTTATACTATTAAAAGTTACCTTATATTTTAAAACGATAGAAAATAATTCTTTTAACATACAGTTTAACCTTAATGAAACATTATACTACATTTTCCTTAAACATCAGTATTATTAGGCGAACACTTTTTGTTGACACCTAAAAAGGTCCAACTAACTTTTCCAATTTTGGTAGAATTGCTTGACATTTTGGGGATGGATGAATGGATGGAAGGAAGGAAGGAACGAAGGAAGGAAGATGTGTCATTAATTTTAGTCATTTAAAAAGAGTCTACTTTGACTATAAATTAGGATCAAGCTCAAATATCTAAGGGTAAGAGCACTTACCCCAAATTCATAAATACTGCCTGAGTGGAAAGAATAGCTAAGTGGTGGAAAAGGTTAGCATACACTGCATGATGCAGTTTCTGGTTTTCTGGCATCGCAGCCAGCTGAAGACTTTTTAGATCACATGGATTAAGGTTGTTATAGAGGAAATGGACCTTTGTTTATCATTTCTAAATGTGCACTTTGTGCATAACTGATTTCTTTAATAATAATTTACAGGTCAGGTAATGTTATTGCTTTTGYCTTCATAGATTTCATCTTTGTATCTAAGCATTTATTTCTAAGGTAAGCTCTATTTTTATTTATAAAGATAAATATTGCATAGAACTATAATTTTTTTTGAAAGTAAACAGAACCAATGAATTTACTTATTCGAATGTCTATTTTAAACTTCAGAAAACTCCACAGTGGAATTGTCAAAGCAACTTGCTCAAGATGAGCAACGTGCTAAAAGTACATCACTATCTACTGTTCTTTATTTTCCATTATTTGATGGGTACTTTCTTTCAAGTTGGTGGCAGAGATAAAAATGATATTTAAGTAAACACAGAGATTATAATGTTCATACTTCGGCCTATCTTTAATCTTTTAATTTTTAATAACCAGGATAACCAGTGAGCTGCTTTATTATTTCCTACTTCACTCAATGATTTTGCCAATTTCTCAAACAAAAGACTTCAAAGCAGAGCTTTCAATAAAGTTTTTAATAGTGATATTAAATTCAGTAAGAAAAGCTCAGATCTATCTGGTTCTCATTATTATTCTGCTGGGTTTATACACCGATTACCAAACAATTGGCATTGTTTTCAATATCTAATATCAGAAAATCAGTCCAATTTGAAATTAAATAAAAATCTCAACTCTAATTCGACATGTTGAAATGACCCCATGATGAAAAGTGATAAAAACCCAAACTTCCCTTCCAGCAAGGTGGCTCAGTTCAAGGTGACAACTGGCCTTCAGACTCTTCCTACAAGAGTAACTGAAGAAGCGTGAAATGTTGTTGCCCAATTGGAAATGGGCTGTGTTGGCCAAAGCTCACTGGGCACAGCTCTTTTGCTGAACTATTTGTTCAGTAAAAGCCTCATGGAACACTAACTGCACAGTGTACTTCATATTAAATGGTAGCACCATTGTCTTTCCTCTTATGATCCTGGATTTAAAACAAAATTGTATGTATACAGAAATGGTGAACTTAACAAAGCTCTCTAGAGAACACTAAACCTTGAACTGATAGAGGTAAAACAAAAACTTCTTCCCTTGACAGATTAAATTCTTTGCTGTCATTGGCAAATACTGTCATGGTRCATTAGCCGTTCCATTCCACATTCCTAACTCTTCCTACTCCAGTCATCAGAGAAACAACAGTGTGGTAAGGTCTTCCAAAGAGAACTTTAGTCTATTAGAAAAGTAGAAAACCAAGCAGGCACATGAACCATGAAGGAGTGTGTCTCCTGCCCCTTCCCCTCCACAATTATAATGATCTTGACCTCTCAGTCTCATTTATGGAGATTTAAAAATAAAATGGTTGACATTTGTTTAGGGAASTTGGGGGAAGAGCTTTTGTGRTAGACGTTGCACATACATTATTTCTAATCTTCATAGAAACCACACAAGCTGACATTTTTAATAGAGTTGTTTGTAATTTACAAGGCTGCAGTATGGCAGAGAAGTGAAAATAAACCACCCTGGGTTAGACTGTGAGTTCTACCACTTATTAGGAAGGTGACCTTGGACCTGTTGCTTTTAACGTCTCTGGTCTTCAGATGTCTACCTGTAAAATGGGGACAACAATGTCTGCTAGGCAAAGTTCTTGTAAGAATTAAATGGTGGAATATATAAAGCAACTCAGATGATTCTAGAATGGTACCTGGCACGTACTAAGCATGCAACAAACATGAGGCACTACTGTTAAGGTCATGCTACTGATTTTTATTAATTGGACAAATGTGACTCAGGAAGTTCATTAAGAATCTTTTAGATGACAATGCAGGAGATCTGATCTGGCYATCAAACCTATTTTTTTCTATTATAAAACAATTCCTTGCTCTTCAAAGGTAAATAAGATAGTCTTAAAAATCAACACGAAGAGATTACTTTCTCTGTATTTTATAAAAATAAAGTGTCATAAGGAATGTCAATGGTGAAACCAAGTTTGTTTTAAGTAACCTCCTTCCTAAAGGGGAAACTGTATTCTGAGRGATAGGGTGAAGGGGCTTCAGACCACGGATCATGAGGAGTGTCACTAGGAGGGACTGGGTGATGATGACCATGGTATTCTACAGTGAATCTTACCATTCTTTAACATAACTACCCCCTGGAGATTCTGCAAGTACCATCTGAATATAATTTCCAGGAGAATTAGAATAACTGAAACATTGCAATCGAGGCATTCAGACCCTTGCAGAGAGTTACTAAGTAGAAAATAGTAAAGCAGAGCACACTCTACAGTAATTTWTTTAGAATATGAGGAGTGTCATTCTTTTCAGGAAGAAGCAAGGATGGCTCCAAGGCCGTGAGACCTCGACATTTAGAAAAGTTGGGATGAACACCAACTGTTCTATGTGACCATGTTAAAGCTATATTGCAGGCTGACCCACATAGCAAAGCTCAGATATACTTGAAGAGTCAGCCTCCAGACAGAGGATAAAAGATTCAGCAAGACAGTAGAAATATCCCAGCTCTGGATTCACAACAACTGGGTTCAAATTCCACCTGTC